GAGAGAGAGAGAGAGAGAGAGAGAGAGAGAGAGAGAGAGAGAGAGAGAGAGGAAGAGAGGAGGGGTTGGGGAAGAGAAGTGAGAGAGAGAGAGAGGTCGTGGGTGGGGGTGGGGAGGAGAAGGGGCTGTCCATACCACTGAGACAAGGCGGTGTCTCATTCCTTTGTCCACACCATCGTAGATTATCCCAATGTCTATATCAGTATCAATGGCCTTTAGCGTGGACCGGATGTCCTCAATATTTTCCCGAGTTTTCTGCCATCCCAACACTGCAAGCACAGGTAAGCAAGCATTTGAATGAGAAACGCCTGATAACAGTCAACCTAACAGGCTAACACCACCTTTCTTTTTCTTTTTTTTTTTAATTAACAGTCTTACACCACATTGTTTGGTCGGACATCACTTTTTGAGCAGCCTCCCATTTGTCACCACTGTTGTTGTGTGTCCAGTCAGTGATAATGCCTATACGCTAACTAAAGACAACAAAACAAATATATTATTACCAACAGTTCCATCAACTTCAATGAGTCAGAGAAGACACAAATATATCGACGGAGGCGCCCTTCTCTGAAAAATCAAAGAACACAATATATACCTGGCCTACCAGTCACCAACACTAGCTGAACGCAAGGGGGAGGAGGGGAAGAAGAAGAACACGAGAGGACAACGAGGAGAGAAGAAGGAGAAGAAGATAACCGAAGGAGGGGGAGGAGGAGGAGGGGGAGGAGGAGGAGGGGAAGAAGAACACGAGAGGACGACGAGGAGAGAAGAAGGAGAAGAAGAAGATAACAGAAGGAGGGGGAGGAGGAAGACCTTCGTTTTTTTTTGTTTTTGTTTACCTAACGTGTCTCACGTGACCTACCGAAAGTCGACGAACTGAAAGAAGAAGAAGGAAGAAGAAGAAGAAAGTTGACCGACGAACTGAAAGAAGAAGAAGGAAGAAGAAGAAGAAAGTTGAGGAGGGGAAGAAGAAGAAGAAGAAAGTTCAAGGGGAAAGATGAAAACGCGAGGGGGTGGAGGGGAAGAAGTGGAAGACGAGATGACGACGGGGAGAAAAGAAGAAGGAGAAGAAGACGACCGAAGGAGGGGGAGGAGGAAGGCCTTCGTTTTTTTCTTTTTTCAACCTAACGTGTCTCACGTGACCTACTGAATGTCGATGAACTGGGAGGAGAAGAAGAAGAAGAAGAAGAAGAAGAAGAAGAAGAAGAAGAAGAGAAAGAAAACGAGTGGGGGAGAAAGGGAAGACAAAGAAGAAGATGAAAGGTTATGGAGGAAGATGAAATCGCGAGGTGGACGAGGGGAAGACGAAGAAGACGAGTCGAGGAGGAGGAAGAGAGAAGGAGTAGGAGGAGGAGAGAAGAAGAAGAAGTAGAAGAAGATGAGCCGAGTAGGGGGAGGGGTAGGTGGACGGGCTGTCGTATCTCACGTGACCTGTCGAATGATCTAGAAGAAGAAGAAGAAGAAGAAGAAGAAGAAGAAGAAGAAGAAGAAGAAGGGGAAGAAGTATGGCTGCGATACGGTATGGTGGCGGCGGTAGGGTATGGAGAAAGGCAGGGAGGAGTGGGGAAGGAGGGGAAGAAGAAGACGACGAGAGAAGAAGACCTAACGAGGGGAGAAGAAGAAGAAGAAGAAGAAGAAGAAGAAGAAGAAGAAGAAGAAGAGAGGTGAGGAGGGGAAGAAGAAGAAGATCAAGAAAGGTCGAGGGGAGAGATGAAAACGCGAGGGGGAGGAGGGGAAGAAGTGGAAGACGAGATGACGACGAGGAGAAAAGAAGAAGGAGAAGAAGAAGATGAGCGGAGAAGTAGGGGGAGGAGGACGGTCATGTGGTGGCAGCCTCCTGGATGCTGCGTGTGGCCTGGCTGGAAGCTTCCAGTAGCTTTCGGTTGGGCCTCAGACCCTGCGCCCAGGCCCGAGGCTACAGTTGAGGGCGTGGGCCCTTTTCAGTTGGGCACGGCCTGAGTCTCCGGACTCGGGCTGTTTGCTGTATCTGTGAGGGGCTCCCAGGCAGGTGCGTAGGCCGTTCTGCTTTTCCAAAGGCCGGCGGCCTGCTTCCTCATGTATCGGCGCTGCTTTGTGTGTATGTGCCCAGGCACAACTTTCAAGGCCTGGGCCAACTGTATGACTCAGCTTAGTGAGGCTCACGTGTCTACCCTACCAACTGGCGTGCTGCGAGAGCCTGAATACCCACATATGGAAATGTCGAATTTTGGCCTCTGACGAATATTCAGGCCTGCCTTCACTTAGGGCGGGCACTCGGCTTGCTGGGGGCCTTAGCCCAGAATATGTGATGTCTGATAGGGCCCCTTGAGGGCTTGTTCCTCACACCAACATCGCGGGAAAGGAAAAAAGGATCCGGATTCAGGCGAATCTCGATGGGTACAGAAAGGCGCCATCAGCCATTGAAAGAAACAAGGAAAGTCCCCTCACTTCTAGACTTCCCCAAGAGACCCAGGCATGAGGGTCCCAGTTGCCCTGACCTGGTTTTCCGACCTTTCTTCATCATCTTTTTCTTCCCCTCCTCACCTCTCTTCTTCTCCTTCTTCTTCGTCTTCTTCTTCCTCCCCCCTCATCAGGTCTTCTTCTCTGCTCGTCTTCTTCTTCCCCTCCTTCCCTACTCCTCCCTGCCTTTCTCCATCCTCCATCCTCCATCCCTCCCTCCCTCGATCCCATCTCGCCATCCTCATCATCCATCCCAGACACCCCCCCAACCCCAGCACCCCCCACCCAGACCAACCCCCCCACCCCACCCCCCAAACCAAAATTTTACTGCAGATTCGGGGGCCTCTCGCCGAGCGCAGAACGACCCCAGTTCCAAAAAAAAAATAAAAAAAATTCTGGGCGTTTTTCTGGCCCTCTCGGTTTACCCGGGCCCTGCCCGGCCGGGCGGCGTCCTCACTCAGTTCTTTTTAGGCTTTTGATTTTTAACTTGAGTCCGGTTACGACTTTGGGCATTCCTCCCAGGCAAACATGTGCTGCTCCCCACGAATAGATAGAGCCATTTTACCAAAAAAAAAAAAAAAAAAAGGAAAGTTGTTTGTATTATTATTTTACATAACAGATAATTTTTCCAGGTTTTTTCTGAGAATGTTTTTATTTTCTTTTGTGTTCACGTTCGGAGGGTTTTGGGCCTTTTGGTGCTCATTCGCGTTTGGTCGTGAACGTTCAGGTTCGGTCACCGAATGCGAATACTATGCTACACAGCGATTAGGATAGAAAGATATTGCCGGATATAGGCCCCATTCTCCAAGAATGGGCGATGTTGAGTACAGCCTTGTTATCAGACACTTCCAATTCAATTAATTAAATCAAATTACATTGCGGGTACTACGGATCCTCTGCGATCCACCTTTATTGGTGGTCTTCACCGGTATTACCTAAAGGCTGTGTTGTAACAAGATGTCGTTTCGCCTCCTGTTCCCAATTAATTGAGTATCACTTTTCGCATTCGTGGCGCTATTGAAATCTACCCGAACCCGAACAAGTGGCCCGTTTCCACTTAGTTTGGATGCCTGTACTTCCCATGTGTGGGACTACTAGCTCATTGCTTCCTGGGGTGTTGATCTTTGGAGATCAGCGGTCCAGATTGCAGCATTTTTCAAAACAATGCAAGGAATATGTGCGAGAGCGATAGACAGAAATCAGGATTGCAAAATCACAAAGTAGTCCAGATAGTCATGTACCAAGCAGAGAGCACAATGCACCAAGATGCCATCCAAATAAGAGCAACAGAGTGAACTCGAATGTCAATGTCGACGCTCTCTGGCCACACCAACAAAGTATCCAATGTTGCTCATTCTTTCTGGTGGCCCGCGCCCACCCTACACTACTCAGCCTATCTGTCCTATCTACATTCATGCAACAGGATCACTTCAACGTTGAAGGCCAATCAATGTACACGACGTCAACACCAATGCAGACGGCCAGCTTACACAAGGTATGTCCTCTCTCTCTCCTCATCACACCGTCTCCTACCTCGTGCACCTCCTACCCGAAGACCACCATCGCCATCATCTGCGCCCACACGCTCGGCCTGGCTATGGCCGTCGTGCGCCCGTTGCCACCACAGCGCCCTCTCACCTCATGCGCCCGCATGCGCCCTGGCCTTCTGCCTAACGCAGATGTGCACGGCGTAGCAGCAGCGTGGCCGCATTGCCTGCTCAGGCCAGAATTCCTCAGCCTGGGCAGGACACTCTACTTTATGGCTGCATGAAGTGCGGCCCTCTCTTCGGCTGCGTGGGCCTGGTTGGATGAGTTTCCAGTAGCTTCCAGTAGGGCTCCAGTGTTTGCGCCCAAGCCCACCTTCGCTGTTACGGGCCTGGGCCCTTTACAGTTGGGCACATTCAGGCTGCCCTCAAGGCTCCAAGTGTTTGCTGCATCTTTATTGGCTCGCGGTGCCGGTGTGACGTCAATGCTGCATTCTCATTGGCCCGTAGCCAGTCCGTGATGTGTCGGCCTCCCACAGTCTGTGCCCAGGGCGCAACCGCCTGGGCCCTGGGCTCAACTGTACAGCGCAGCTCGTGTTTTTGGAAGGAGCCTCTGAAGGCTCACGTTGCTCCGTAACCAACTGGCGTGCTGCAACTGTCTGATACCCCACATATGTAAAATGTCAAAAGTAGGCCTTACGTGGATATTCAGGCCCGCCTTCACTTGGGCGGGCACAGTGCTTGCTGGGAGCCACAGCCCAGAACACTTGCATGTCTGTAGGGGCCCCGTAAGGGCTCAGTCCTTGCAACAACAATATTGGGGTCCTAACAACCCCATTATTTTTCAATCGCAGCCCAGGGCACATCCGGTAGTGGGCCTTGGACCAAGTGACGCAAAAAGGAGCTCACATTGGGCATTTCCAATTTCACAGTTTGGCACCGTAGCGAACCCAGCCAGTAAGGCCGGTCAGGCTGACCAGGCAGGTTCTTTGCTGGCCTCACATGCCCGGGCGGGCCCCCCTGCCGCCCCCACCATCCCCCTCACATGCAACATTTACGAAAGGTTCGGAACAGTCCTGTCATGAAGAAGGAGGGCGCAAGTTGTTGGACACAGCAGGGCAACTTTATTCAACATCACGTTCCGTGCAATCCCCTTCTGTTTCAGAACCAGCGGCCCGATTGAGTGAAAAAGAGCTTGCACTGGCCTTTTCCAATTTCACAGTTTGGCAAGCTGGCCTGTCCAGTCAACCAGCCTGGCCAGGCTGACCGGGTAGGTCCCTTGCTGGCCTCAGGTGCCCAGGCGAGCCCCCCACCGCCCCCACCCCCCCTTCAACTTGCGATTATATACGCGCCACATTTACAAAAGGTTCAGCGGCCCTGTCACGAGGAACGGAGAGCGCTCATTATTGGACCCAACAGGGCCCCTTGAGTGAACACTGTCGCGCGCAATGCCACTTTGTTTCACAACCAGCTGCCCAATCGAATGAAAACGAAGTCTAACGTGCGAG